TTGTAATAGCTAAATCTTGGAAACAACCTATTTGCCCATCCGTTGGACTCTGGAAAAAGAAGATGTGGTTTTTCTATAAAATGGAATATTACTCAGCCATAAAGAGCGAGAGAATAGATTCATTCATAGGAAAATGGATACATATTGAAGATATACTCCTAAGTGAAATAAATAAGTCCCACATGTAAATACCAAAAATAGTTTCCCTGGTGTGAATATTCTGCAACAATGCATAAGATTCTAATAAGATTACTGACATTTAGAAATGGGAGGAAAGGAGCTAAAGGTGTAGGGAAGGTGTGATACGTAGGGGAAGAACAAAAAGGGAAAAGAAAAAAATGTGAGAGAATGAAAAGATGAAAATAAAGTGTTTGTAGATGGGGAGGGGAGGAGGGGGTGAAGGGAGGGCAGAGGTAAGGGGAAAAAAATGAGAATCAAGACTTGCCATGTAAAGGTACATGATCCCAACAATGAATAACTACTGTATTAAAAAAAAAAAAAAAAAAAAAAAGGTGGCTCAGATCTTTTCTTCATTTCATAAGTAAGATACTGAGATAAAAGATGTGCAAAACGGATTTTTCATGGTCACTTCAACTCCAGACAATTTGAGTCCAAGGCCAGAATTCTTTCTGCCACACTGTAGCACATCTTCACATTAGTTTATTGTCAGTAGCATAATGGATAAACATTCTCAACCAGTAGGCTTTTTGTGAAAGTTATCTTCAACATAAAAACATTTGGCAGAAAATGTGTGTGTTGAGGCTGGCATCCTACAGGTGGATTCCTATACTTAAATGGAGTACGATGGGGGTGAGAAATCAAGACAACTTATCCTTTATATATTCATTTTATAGCTTATTTAAATAACTATATAAGAAATGGGCTTCCATTTAAGTTGTTTTGCTATTTCTAGCTATGTGTAGTACCAGCCTTTGTAACTCAGTCATGAGGCATTTCTAGGGCTTCTGCAGGCTGGAACAGATATGAAAGGGAGCTGAGAATAGTAGGATTTGATGCTGCAAGAGTAAGTTGAGCTTTCAGACAGGTTCTCAAATCATAAAGTATCAGAAGGAAGAATGAAACTTAGGTACAAGCTGGGAAAACCTCATGGCCCAAGAGATCCAAGCCATTGGAGGGTGGAGAACCAAGAGGATGGTCATGGCAATATCAAAACTGGTAGACAGGTGGATGGTGGAAGCCATGTTTCTCAAGAGAACCATCTGGCGTAAATAAGGACCACAGACCATGGTAAGATTTTGTCTTTGGGAAGCCTAGTAAGGACTAAAAGAAGAAATGGAAATCCAAACAAGTCATTTGGGGTTTTAAATTAGGGCTTCAGTCTCAATGGAGAAACAAACAGGACAGAATAGTGACAAGCTAAGGCCAAGCTTCGGTTTTATTGTCATACAAGTAAAACAAGAATTCGGAATCAGGCTGAAGTTTTATAAACAAACAACAGGAGAAGGGAGGTTCACCTCAGGCACTGGATTTAGTGAAGAAAGAAGAACTCCAGCAGGGGTAAGGGATAAGGATCAGATTTTCTAATATACTCCAAAAAGTTTGTTTAGATTTGGCTCTAGTATTGAGATGTCCTGAGCCTATAAATAAGACTTTCAGTACTTGCAGCTGTATCTGGGTCAGGCAGGAACTGACACATCACAACATGGTTTAATTTTATTTTCATGCAGTTTATGAGCAAATGACTAATTTATCAGTTGCACTGTATCTCAGGTATGGTGAAGTCCTCAAAGAATTGCCTTCATATTCTTTTGTCATTATACTACTCAGAATTAATTGGATTATTGTGTATTTTTATACACTTTCATTAACATTATTACCACTGTAATGAAACCAAATAAAACTATAACGCTCTTCTACAGATATGCTCTTGAAGTACTTTGTCAACATAATGGCAAAACCTAATAAAATAATAAAACTGTAATATATATCTATATGGATTGATAAAACAGATTTTGGTTTTCACCATAATTAGAAAGACAAAAGTCCTCAATCAAAGGTTTCCCTTGATTGTGTAATGTCGCAATAGGTTCCCATAATTGTTTGTGAAAGTTTTACAGGTTCATGCTGATTTATGTTCAATAGCTCATATTAATGTCAACTCAATCATGCAACTAAAATAATCCCTTTTAGCTTTTGAAATAAAGAGTTAAACTGTAGCTCATCTACAGTCTTACAACAAAGAACCTCAGAGAAGATACACAAAGAAATCAAGAACAGGAATTTTCTAGATATTTTAAAACAGTCTTGGTCAAATCCACGGAGGGGAATACCATGGTGAAAGGTATTATTTGCAACACACATCTTGCCAAAAGGAAGTTAATGTTTGCTAGTGCTTATATATTAGCCAGAACTAGAAAAGACCAGTGTCTGATTGCTCACAGAGAAAAGATCAGTCTTACTTAAATAATTGGTCTAACAGTACTTTTTGTTTTTGATTTTGTTTTTTGAGACAGGGTTTCACTATGCAGTTGAGACTGACCTGGAACTGTGTAGCCCAGGCTGGTCTCAAACTCACAGCGATCCTCCTGCCTCAGCCTATATTAGCCAGAACTAGAAAAGACCAGTGTCTGATTGCTCACAGAGAAAAGATCAGTCTTACTTAAATAATTGGTCTAACAGTACTTTTTGTTTTTGATTTTGTTTTTTGAGACAGGGTTTCACTATGCAGTTGAGACTGACCTGGAACTGTGTAGCCCAGGCTGGTCTCAAACTCACAGCGATCCTCCTGCCTCAGCCTCCCAAGTGCTGCGATTGCAGGCATGCGCCACCATGCCCGGCTACTTTTAACTATTGGGTTGACACACTCGCTGACAGAAATTTGGTATTCCCTGAATAGAATTTTTCTGAAAATCATTATGCCATGTTAAAACACAGATTATTAGGTCCTTCTGAGGACACAGCAACACTTAAGAGCCATCTTAGCCCCAATCAGGACTTGGATCTGCATCTATTCCTGGAATAACTTTCTTACTATACCCAGCACCTTTCTTACTTTTTGTTAAAGGTGCAACTTCCAAAGGGACCATTTATAACCTTTGTGCTGAGGACAGGAACTACCTTCTTCAGTGTGGTTTATCTATCAGTTTTTTAATGAATAACTAGTAATGCTTCCTAGTCATTCTTCTTCTATGATACTATTTCTTCTATAGCAACACCATTTCAGTGACTGTAAATTCAAAGACGAACAAGACAAGGCATTTAGTCTTCAGAGAGATTGCCTAAGGCAGGGCTGGAAGATGTGAATTTCTCAACATAAATCCTGATTCTACCATTTCCTAGCTGTGTTATCATACAGAAATGATTTTATCAACCTGCCCTCAGTTTCTCCACCTATAAAATGGCATAGTAACACTATGACCTGTCCTATAAGGAAGTTGGAAGATACTGTATGCAAAATGCTCATCACAGTGTCTGGTTTAGCACAGCAAATTCACGCTCAGTATGCTAGCTATCAGCATAATGAAGTTCACATTCTCATAGGAAGACAGATAGTACCATACAACCTAAATACAGTATAGCCAAGGCCTTTATTGAATGTATGAGCAAAATACAATAGGAGCTTTAATGAGGAAGAGTATCAGTGAATTCCTGTACCATCAGTTTTCTCTAAAGTGGTAATCATGGCTGACAAGGAAGACAGAAGTCTAAAATGACCTCTGATCTGGGATTAAAAGACTGAATTCACCAATGGGGCAAACACATTTAGGAGTATCCAGTAATAATTCTATGAGCATGAGCAGCTAGCATGAGTGAAAGCCTAGCAGCACCTAAATTGATGACTTGTCCAGACCAGCAAGTGGTATAGAGCTGCTGCCAGAATGATAGGTCAGGACTAACTGTGAGCACCACAGAAGGCAGCAACATAAAAACAACGTGATCTAATCTATGGTTTACAGAAATAACTCGGCTACATCCTGGAGGATAAAAAACATAAAAGAGAGACTGCAAGCAGGGAGTCTGTTAGGAAACTATTATGGCAGCCTGAACTGGGACAGTGGCAGTGAGAATAGACAGATGAAGACTGAGTTAACAGGGACTTGGAGGGGGTCTAGAAAGCACTTAGTAATCAACTGGACACAGAGGCAGAGGAAGGATATGGGGATCACTCCATATTATAGCTGAAATAAGAAAAACAGGAAAATAAGCAAGTTTGGGGAGAAAGATAATAAGTTCATTCTATAAATATTAAGTGTAAGTTTCTGCAGGAAGAAAAATCAAGTGGGGAATTTAAAGTGCAATTCCAGCATCCAGCATAGATCCATTCAGGATGACAGGGAAAAGGGAAAGTAGAGGGGAAGAAAGTGGTGCTTTAAAAAGCAATTCTTGCATATCTGCACAGCCCAGCTTGTTCTATGACATAGAACCAGAATCAGACAGATACCTCTCCAAAATAACTCCTGTATGCAGCAAAACTGGTTCACCTATGGTACTTTGCATGTCCTGTGAATTTTCTTTCCTCTATTCCACATGTTCTTCCAGGTTCTACTCAAGATTTAAGTGATACAGACATAAAAACTCAAAACCTGCCATTAGGAAGACAGTCAATAAGCAAGGAAGCAAATAAATATAAAATGTAATCTTAAGTACATAAATGCAATGAGGAAAAATAAAGCAGGTAAGAGACTGGAGGAGAGGACATTTTGAAATCAGGTGGTAGCACTACCCTAATCACCAGCTCAGAAAATTTATGTCAGAGCACACATCTTTGATAGTGTAATGTTTTGAATGGAGACCTAAACTGATAGAGAAGAATGTTTCAAGCAGCAACAAAAGCAGCTATAATGACCCTGGGTTGGGAACTACATTGGCATAGTTAAGAAACAAGGCAACCAGCTTGGTTAGAATGGACATAATAGTACGATGCCTTATGACAGATCTATACTGTTGTATTGTTAACTAATAGCATTGTAAATTTTTTCATGGATTTAAATCTTGTCTTCTCAACACTGTGTCAGCCTGTTGAGGGCAAGGTCTATGTGTAAAGCTCATGGGACACAGTACCTAGGATGCAGTAAGTGCTCTTCTCCACTCATTTTTCTGTAATTGTGGATTAGGATCTCTAGTCCTGCTTTGTTGCACCCTCAAACACTTCTGGGCTAGTCCCAGATGCTGCTCACCATCTGGCAATTGACTAGGGTGCTATTTTTGTCATAGTCAGTAGGGAACCCAGGTTATGCCTACAGCAACAGAAAAAGGCTAAACACGAAGATTTATCCTTGCTGTTTGCAAACTTATTGGTTTTTCTTAGGTTCTAATATTGAATATTAAAACATGAGGCAATCCTGCACATGCTCAGAGAAGCTGTTTGCTTTGCCACAATTCTATACTCAAACATTATAATAATATCATTATTATCCCACAGGGATGTCATGAGGATTAATGAGACATTTCCAAATCACTCTGAGCTACTCCATTGGGGGTAATAAATTGGGGGTATTTGTTCCTCCTGAAGTGCCATTTTTGACACTGATTTGTTGTGATGGGTTCTGCTGTCCAACAGGGCTGGAATGCACCCACCAACTCATTTCCTACAAACAACAGAGTAGCCTTTAGAAGGCAATGGTTTTCTGTTAAAATAAATATGAATTGAAGCGAACTAGTCAGCAATCAGAAGCAAATAGACTGCTGTTTGAAATCTAGTATTTATTAAGTACTCACGGTGATCAACATAAGAGTTTCACAGTGTGATACAGTAAAGCAAACATTAGATTTGGAAATGATCCAATATTTTAGGCCCAGCTCTGCTACTAACTATATAAACTGAACAAACTGCTAAACTTCTCTGGGCTTCAAATATAAAGTGAGGGCTGTCCTAGGAAGCTCATAATCAAGGTCTTCCAGAGAAGGCAAATACATAAAAGGAATGGAAATATTCATTTCTGGAGGAAAGATACTTCGCAGCAGGGAGAAGCTTCTGACCATCCATCATGGGACCATTCTCTGCTCTGGTCTTCCTTGCCATTGATTAATATTAATTTCAGTACTAATTCCTGCAAAGGGAGGAATAAATCACCTTCCAAGTCAGACATAGAAGTGCATGAAACGTTTGGTTTTTAAAAATAGGGTCTTTGCCTTTCTATGAGCAAGCATCTGTCTCATTCTTGGATTTAAATATATTAATGATTGATTGTGCTGCTACCCTAATTGCCAGGTCATTATTATATATATAGATATAGATATAGATAGATAGATATACACACACACACACATATATATATATATGTATTAATAAGGTGACTGCCATGCAATGCATTGTTCTGAGGTTTTGTGAGAAAGAGCCTTTTGCACAGTTGTCCATTTTACCATCTCCAACATCTGTTACTGCTTGCAGTGCCCAGCACTGAGCTGGATATGAGAAGGAAGACAAACAGTAAAGAAAAGCCAGTTGGGGAATAACTGAATAATGAACTACAATATACCATGAACTCAGTTTCCCTTCACATCTCAACCGAGGATGAGAAACCCCCACTAGGGTCCTTCTCAAAAAGAAGAAATGTTGCCCTTCCAGAGCAGATAAAAATGCAAAGACTCACTTGGGGAATTCAACTCAACAAATATATACTGAGTAAGCACTATCTGTAAGGCACTGTGATGGTCGATAGGAGCAAATTGGTAAGATCTTTTTTGTACCCTAGGAAGCCTTATGGTTGGGAGTGGTGGTAATGAAGCAATGATCATGAATCACTTTTACTTCGAAGTGAATCGTCAGCTCATTTTGGATGGCGCTGTCTAGACAATACTTCCTCTTGTAAATGATTTGAATGATACCACTGGCGACAGATTTCTGTCAACGTAAGACTGACTTACATTGGGGTTGCTAAAATTTCTGGAAACAGAAATTTGGAGAAACTAAGTTCAAAGAAAGTAAGCGAAAATCACCAAGTACAGAGACACAAGTCCCAGAATGTTCTCTCACTTTAGCAACTGGAATGGGGCAAATTCTCAGCCAAAAGGGCCGTGACAGCAACCTAAGTGGAGTCTAGGTATAGGTACTGCCTCTGTCCCTCCCACGACAGATGTCGTACAGTCGGGCTTTCTAATCCCAGAGCCTAAATGTGAATTCCTCTTTCCTCACACTTTCGGCCAACAGAAAATCTCGAAGTACCTAAACACCAGGCTGCCCTCCCAGAAACTCGCTCCTTGATTCGGCCTAAGGTGAAGTACGTAATTCACTATAGAAGCAAGGTGCTTGAGTGCCAATGATGCAGTTTTTTCAGACTCTAGGGCAGGAACCTACCAGCACCCATCATCCTGTTTAGCTTCTCATCCAAGTGCGATTATTGAGAATACCCACTCTCCCCTGGAGTGAGCTTCGGAGCTTCCCACCCAGGTCATCCACCCGGCCTGCATATTCTCCTCTCCTCTCCTCTTTCTCTCTCTCTCTCTCTC